GAAATCTGCGCTGGTTCATCGACATTTGGATCTGTATGAACCAAACCGAACAATTGAACTCTGCGAGATTTTTTTTCTTTTTCTTTTTTTTTCTTTTTAACCCTGTGCAGGGTTCGGGCGTGCGTTTTTACCAGGGTTTTTTATTTTTATTTTTTGCATGGTTTCGCTTCTTCAAAACGGACAGATGTTACGTCTGCCGCGCTCCTTCTGTGCATCGCTCTCCTTCTGGGTGCGGGAGGGTAACATCTTCAACTCCATTTGTTAAAACTGCAGGGCGAGTTAAGTTTAGTTCTTCGCAGCGGCGCCACATTGGTTTTTTACATAATAGATCTATACAAGTAAGAATAGGTCAACAGTTGTCAGAAAAATATTTTGTTGAAAATGGAACTCCTCAAGGAAGTATTGTGAGTCCTTTGTTTTTCTCTGTTATGATTAATGATATGTTTGACAATTTGGAGAGTGGTATGGGTTGTTCATTATTTGCTGATGATGGAGCAATTTGGAAGAGAGGTAAGAACTTGAAATTTATAGTTAAGAAATTACAAAAAGCAATATATAGTATAGAAGAGTGGTCATATAATTGGGGTTTTAAAATTTCAATAGATAAAACAAAGACCTTATTTTTCACTAGAAAGAAAGTATCTAATGATTTAAAATTGTATTTGTATAAACATGATTTAGAAAGAGTAAATGAGTTTAAATTTTTGGGTTTGTGGATGGATGAAAAACTCACCTGGAGTAGACATATCCAAAAAGTAGTGGATAAGTGTAAGAGAGTTTTAAATGTTATGAAATGTTTGGTGGGAAGAGAGTGGGGAACTGAAAGGAAAGCATTGAAAACAATATATACGGGTTTAATAAGATCTGTATTAGATTATGGTAGCCTGGCCTTTGGATCAGCATCAGAAACACTTCTTAAAAAATTAGACATTATTCAGTATCAAGCCTTGAGGTTGTGTACAGGAGCCATCAGAACAACTCCGATCTCAGTTTTGTTAGTTGAAATGGGGGAAATACTACTTTACCTCAGAAGATTACAGTTCAGATTATCTTACTGGAGTTATTTAAAGGGTCAGTATGAAAACCATCCATGTCAAGAAATTTTAAAACCTAGCTGGGAAAAGGGGAAAAAGACTTTAAAATCCTTTGGTTGGGAGATAGAGAGCGACGTGAAGGATTTTGATTTGTCATCTATAAAATTGAGTGAAACAGTTCCACTATCACCGGTCCATCCATCTCTGTTTCATGAAATCATTGTGGATTTATCTTTGTTGGAGAAGAGGAAAAAAGGAAATATTTCAGAATCATACTCAGTGCAATCATATATAGAAAATAAATACTTTGATTATGTTCAAGTGTATACAGATGCATCTAAAAGTTTAAGTAGCAACAATGGGGTGTCGTTTATCATTCCAGGATTTAGTATTAAAAAATGTAAGAGGATTTCTGATGGCGTCTCAGTGTTTACAGGGGAGATGATGGGAATAATTCTGGCATTAGGATGGATTGAAGAGGTTCGTCCTCTGAGAAGTTTAATTTGTTCTGATTCAAGTTCATCGTTATATTCAATTAAACATAATCAGTCTAATAGTAGGCCAGACCTTTTATTTGAGATTCAGTTAATACTTTATAGAATTCAGGCCATGGGATTAATTGTCATTTTTACATGGGTTCCATCGCATATAGGAATAAAAGGAAATGAGTTGGCAGACAAATATGCAAAACAAGCTTCAAAAAACAGTTGCATTGAGATACTGATTCCTTTTAGTAAAGAGGAAATAAAATCTATTATAAAACAAAAGGTTAAGGGAAGATGGCAGAAGCAGTGGGAAGAAGAAAGAACTGGTAGATGCTTTATAGTATTCAAAGGACAGTTGGTGCAATGAGGGCAACAGGAAGAAGTAGAAAAGAAGAAAACATTATATCCAGATTACGTTTTGGTCATACAGGTTTAAACAGTACACTGTTTAAAATGGGGAAACATCCATCAGGTAATTGTGATCTTTGTTTTCAAGAAGAGACAGTAGAACATGTTTTATTGTTATGTCCAAAGTACTCCGAGGAGAGAAGGAAATTAGAATATAGGCTTCTAAAGAATAAGTTACAGTTAAAAATACCAGATATTTTGGGATATTCCTCTTGCTCTGAATATTTATGTTATTTAATAAAATTTCTTAAGAAAACTAAACTGATAGAAAGGATTTAGTGTTTTTTTTTTGTTTGGCTTTTTTTTTAAGTTGCGTTCTGATCCACACTCCATACCAGTAGGTGGCGGTAATGCACACCATTAAGTTGCTTGCCAACCGCCATTAAAAAAACAAAAAGAAGAAGAAGAAGAATACCGACGCTTGAGTGTTAGCCAGTTATGGTAACTCTGAGCCCTCCTGTGATCAAGTTGTGTTTTCAGTTGAACTGAACTAATGCTTTCTGTCGTCTGGATTCTTTTCAGATGTCCCTGTGACTATAAGTCTGGCTATAACTTTGAGTTTCCCTTGTGACGCCGTGGATTTATTACCCATTGATGCCCAAGACCACCACTCCCCATCCTCGTTGAAAAGAAAGACTGCGGTGTCAGAAAATCCTAGCTGGCAGTCCGCTCGCTCTCTCCGTGAAGCATTCAAGTCCTACTACCTGTCCGACCTCCACCTCCAGCCCAGATTCTCAGCGCCCCAACCCCTGGCTGCGTCGTTTTCTCCCCTCTGTAAGCATATTACCTTCAAGTTAACTGAATATTCCCACGGTCTCTGAACTCACCTCCTGATCTGTTATTTTCCCCAGACGTCCTGGCATTACTGTTTGTTTCTGTCCACTTCGAGTTTTATGAGAACACACCTGGAATTCCTGTTTAATAAATGACTTTAACTGATCTTTGCATCCTGATTTGTGTTCTGCATGTGGGTTCGCAGTATTGATACAAGCATGACAGGTGTGCCAAATAATAGGAATTTTAATAATCGAGGTCCTCGAATCATTTCAGCTCTGATGTTTTGTGTATATGAATGTTTTTCTTTAATGTGTGTCACTGTGTAAGTATGAGAGAGCTTGCAACTATGAGTTACTGATAAAAAGAACTAGAAGTTTCTGTTGGAATCCTTGTCAGCTCTCATTTACTTCCATACATTTAGAGTGAGGGTTTCCGACGACAAGTCTTAACTAAAAATCACTCCCTCCAATGAGGTGAGGGGTAGTTGCACGACAGTGGATAAAGATATGGCATTGTCGTCCACCTGGTAACCGAGAAGTTCTAACTTGAGGTGTGTTCTTTTGGCTGTGACTGTATAATCTGTGATCTGTGTTGTTCGGGGCTCTTCTACTGACTGTGTTCAGTGAAATAGGTCTTCGAACACTTTTGCCTTCGAATAAAAATAAAGACAAGAATTCATCTTTCTGTAGTTATTGGAACACTCTTTGATAACAGAATTTTCCACAAATGTCTCTTCAGTGTCATGTTTAGGGAGCCTTGTTGGCACAGTAGGCAGTGTCAGTCTTATAATTTGAAGGTTGTGAGTTCAACCCTTACATGGGGGATGTGTTCTGATTCTTCTTTTTCTTTTGGCACTCACTGCGATGAGTCAGTTGTGGTCCAGGGCGATGACAAGGAGCTGCCTTCGGTGAGAAGGGCTAGTGGCCAACAGAAAAAAGGTATAGTTCAGAAACAATAAAGATCATGAATGTAGTTAAATCCCTGACACCTCTGTTAGTGGAACTTTCCAGGTCAAGTTTTGTAAGGTACTTAAGCTTCCCAAGCACTCAATAAGTTCATCAACTCTTGGCATTGGACAAGCATCAAAAACAGAGACAGCATTACGTTTTGAGAAATCAACACAAAATGTCTCTTATTTTTCTTGGGAACAAGCACCACAGGGCTGCACCATTCACTTGCAGAAGGTTCTATGATCCACATAGCCAGCATTTCTTCCACTTCCTGTTTTAGTGCTGGCATCAGTTTTGCTGGAAATCTGGAGGTTGTATCCCTGATAGTGGGTTGATTTAGACAGCAAAGTCATATGTCCTACTCAATGAGATGGGTGTAGCCTGGTTTTGTGCTGAAAATCTCCCTTGGCAATATGGTCAGCCGCTCCTCCTGCCATTCTAGAGATAGATGGCTTACATCTGGCAATAGCTTTTCCCCAGCATTAGATGGAAGGACTTGCTCTTGAGGTTCCTCTTTGTTAATTACAGCCCACACACACAACTGCATTGATTGAACTGGCTGTTTAATCCATTCCTTCAGCATTTTGACATTAAATGGTGCTTGGTACAGCAATCTGGCATGTTGAGCTCACAAGTGACCAGACCTACTTTTCTGTTGACGAGAAAAGACCCCTGCCACTTGGCTAAGAGGCTGCTTTTCTGCTCTGTCTGTCAAAGGAGGAGGACACACTTTCTCTGTCTCCCTGCCCTCCCTGTCTTCCCTGCTCAGTGTCTGTGTCCTGTGTTTTTAGAGCCTTCTTTGAATAGCTTCTGAAGTTGCAAATTATGGATCGGGTCAGCTGGTCTCTCAACCCAATTGATACAATTTTTTCCACTGGGAAAAATTGGAAATTGGTAAAGGGGAACCCTTGTGTTCTGACAGGACATTCTTCGCTGGATACACAATGGATTCTACATGGAAGTGGAAGACCGTGTGCCTGACGATGCTGTCAGTTGAAGATGTGTACATGATTGGATTCATGATAGCAGGTTTTCTGCTTATTGGAGTTGGCGGCTACCTGGCTTATCGGAAATTTTGGAAGATGCCAGCGACCGTATTGGCAACATCGAGGCTGCTGGGTACGGTTGATGGAATCTGCAGAGCAATCAACACTCAGACTGAGATGATACGGGAGCTGAGCCGCAGACTGGGTGCGATTCTGGAACAGGACTGTGGCCGGGCACCGGATCTCGGACTCAGAATGGATATGGTGTGACCTTGGAGTATGTTGTTCGCTCAGATCAGGAGGGAGACCCTAAAAAATTGGCTATTTGGATTTGCCATTGAGAAGCACCAGTGAGATTTTCAAGGCAGGCAGCAAACTGATGTCAGCCTGACCTAAACAAATTTCTGCTATCGGAATCTGGACCCCAGGCTGGCCTTGGCTGGCCAGCTATCCTCCCCTGGTTGTTATGTCTAAAGAAGACTCTGTTCTGCTCCCCCCCCCCCAGGAACATCTTTGTCCCGGAACTGATTAAGTTGGTGGGGAACTCCGACATCATACTCACAGACAATCATGAAAAATCACTTG